GGATGAATTTTTTGCGTGTTACAATGGACAGCTCTAAAATAGTGCTTCAGTCTCCACCGAGAGGAGCCAATATACCGTACAGACCAAAGCAGCATTTGAATCAATTGACAATTGCTGCCACAGCACTCGCTGCATCGAAACCCTTACAGCGCAACATCTTTTCGCCACAGTTACCGTATGGAACGATTTCACCTGAAGTAAGGAAGCTCAAAAGTCATTATTTTTTATTAATATATCTTAGAGCTATGAAATACGTTATTTATTATATATTGAACAAATTCGTCTTCGGCTTGATTATCATTCTTAGCTGAATGGTTTACGGCTTAGGTGGATTAATTCTGAATTGTCATTCTTTCATGCTATCAGCTTTCGTCAATTCTGCCAATCTGTTCACTTTGGATGTCATATTCTGACAGATCAGCTGAATCTGTCCTTTTTATAATTTAATGCATTTCTCCTATTAATTCTAAAGCACTTCTCTTTGCTAACAAATGGAATGTTTTGGTGATTTAACTCATACAATAATGTTTCATTCCATATGTTAAATCCTTTCATTATCATTTATATGTGAAACTATGGAAAAATATCTGTCAGGTCTCCCAACCACAGTGGCATTTCGAGGGTATGAATATCGAACAATTGAGGCGAAGATATCACATTAAAAATATTGATTCCAGATTGAAACAGCGAAAATGCATAGTGTAAAGGAAAAATCTATTTCCCACTGTACACCAGCAGCTCTGTTGCACCACCCACTGTACCTAGATGCTTAGGGGAGACTCTTTACGCAGGCCACGGCTCCATGGCAATTGCAGTGCATAGGACACAGGGCCGCCTCTCAAACTAGAGGTGAACAAATGTATATTCAACATGACTGCCACGATCCATAGGTGAACGAATGGCAAATTATAACCCGATATCTTGCGCAACCTTTTATTTAATATATTTTCAGCACCGGTATCGAACGATTCCTCAAAACATCAGAGTTTTTCTTCATCATCTTTCTCATCTTAACTAACTGTTTCTTTTTTGGGTCGCGGAGGCAAACGAGCCACACAGTACTTCCAACGTTCCTGATCTTGTGTAAGAGTCTCGGCGATCTCAGAAGAGCACTCGAGTCTAGAAAAGACTCATTCCATAAATTTGCACCAGGTTAATCTTAGCCGTCCCCTGGGCATTCTGCCGATCACCTCGGTA